GCAGGGAGAGAGTTCAACGTAGATGAGAGCAATGTTCGCTTGTGGCGGCAACAGAAATTGGCACTGTTTGCAACTAAAGATTCAATAAATTCCTCATACTATTGATGCGCATTACATTCGCCGACAAACAATTTTTTTATTATTTAAAGTTTTAAAATGGGGATGCGCATTAGATTCGCATAAATACGGTATATTGTTACTGCAATAATTGTAAATTAGTTGTTTAAGCTACATAATCTATGTATGAGAAAAGTCATGAATAATGGCGGGGCATAGGCAAACCTGCTGGCTATGTCCTTGATGCTCCATGTCTTTCCTCATATACTAAATTCTCTCTTTCTTTGCTAATCCTTTTCTGCCACCCTGCTTTCCTGACCCTTTCTTTTGAAGGGAGGATATGTAAGATATAACAAAATACGATGGCTGCTTTAAAAAATAATTGGCAACATCAAAATTTAACATTCTAAATTTGATGCTCTTTCCCCAAAATTCATCTGTTCTCCCAAATTTGAGATTTTTCTACGTTATGTACCACTACTAACTAACCAATCATAGATTAACTATACTTGTACATCAAACTTGGTGTAAAACCCCTGGCAGTCAATTGCGTCATTCTTCTACTAGCTTCTGACCTTGCTAGTATCTCCTCGCTTTCCTTCCCCATCTAAAATGCCTGAATATTTCATTATGACTGAACCATAGAAATTTCTCGGATTTCATTATGATTGGATAAATATTTACTGAGATGTTTTATATGCGTGGAAATAAAGGCTGGAAATTCGTCAAGTTCATGTTTGTTATCTTCATCTATAAGCCTTCACTCTCAGCCACGACTACTGCAAGCTGATTACTCTTCTGTGCTCCAAGAATTATTACACACACACACACACACATATATATATATATATATACGTAGGTTGGAGCAAAAGTCATGGCAACTATTTTTTTCTTGAAGATACCAGTCCTGTTGGAAAATGTGACATACACAGACAAAAGGACAAGGTCTTAACTACATGTGTGGACAATGAATAGCACTGAAATATCGTAATACACGAATTTATTACAGTAGTATACAGGGCAATAGGCCTTCACCGTGCAAAAGAATGATAACACAATACATAAAGTTGACTGACAAACCTTGGCCCTAAGGATCCTCATGTAGTCCCCTGATTGTCAACCACATGCTGCCAACGATGTGGGAGGCGCTGAATACCATCAGCTCCATTTGCCGACCATATGTGAATCGGGTCATCTGTTGGCGCACAGCATTAGCAATGTCATCTCGTGTTGAAAACCTCCTACCCGTATTGGTTCCTAATCTTGGGAATGAGATCAAATACAGAGCGAAAGGTCAGGAGATACGGTGGGGGCTCAATTCTCCTTCCCAACGTCGGAGTAGCTGCCGTCCACTATGCTTTACGTGGTGTTGCATTGTCGTACAAATTATGCCACTGTCACAGATCCGGACTTTATCCCGAACCAGGAAGTCCTGTATACTGTCGGTCATGTTCTGCCATGAGGAACAAAGTGGCAAACAATGATTACCCTGACGTCATACGCGACGATCACCATCAATTTGACTGGTGAAGGATACTGACGGACCTTCTCCTGCCTTGGCTATCTAGGATGGTACCACTCCGCGGACTGACGTTTCAGTTCTGGTTCGTATGCTCTGGCTCAAAATTCATCGATGGCCATTATTTGTGATAAGAACTGATCGCCGTCCTGTTGCCAGCGTGGAAAGTGGTCGGAGTATATTGCATAGCGCACCCACCTTTGAATTTCCATCAGTGCATGCGGTACCCACCGCGAAGCGATTTTGCTTAGCTATCGCTCATTACGCAATATCCTGTGGACGGTGCGTTTCTCGATGCCACTTGCCCTCTCTTAACTCCAGTAATGTCCATCTTGTCTTATCCAGAGGCTCGATTGCGGTAGTGCCACGCCGCACATTACGGTCGTCCCGTACGTGCTCATCACTGGGGACACACATCCTTGCTGAAACTTCCTACCACTGTGATACGTACGATATGGTAGGGATTATTCCAGGGCTTTACTAATTCACGTGACATTCCATAGATTTATTCATCGGAGAACGGCATTTTTATGTAAGCGTGCTGCTCAACTCGGGTACTTCCATCTCGCACAACACTCACAACTGACTGATTTCAGAGCCTGCTACCAGAGAGCAGTACAAGAGCATCGGTTCGCATACACATATGCTGAGAACTCCACATGACCAATATACATTTGTGTACGTTCACATATTACAAGAAAAAATAGTAGTTCCATGACTTGCCCCAACCCTCGTATATCACCCTGTCCTATTAACTCGCCTCCTTTCTCAATCGTTGGCAACGCTTCCAATGACAGATGTGACGAAAATTCACGTTCGGCAATGTAAATAAAAAAAAATAAAATAATAAAATTAATAAATAAATAAAAAGACAATAAAAAAATCTACTTTATGCGGATTCCCGATTCTTATATTTTGGAAAGTTTTATACTCGTTATGACAAAACAAAGAACTCTCGTACGACAAAAATTGGTTGGTATATTTAATTTCAAAATTTACAATTTTTATGTCATTTTTGACCTGCCTTGCGAGATCAGTTACTCAGGTTCAAATAATTCGAGGAAATAAGTTTAAATGAAATGCAGCAAAAAATGTGTATAATTTAATAGGTTGTACAAGGAAGTCGTGGTGTCCGCATCAGATTTCTTTTTATATGTAATTAATGCCTTATCAGATTAGCTATGCCATGTGGTAAAAAATTATTTAATATCAGATGATATGTGAATGGAGTGAGCTGGAGCATTGTAAAAGTAAAAGCTGATCTTCAATGATAATTTTTAACGCGCCAGACGTTTGGAACCGGTTCAGATGAGAAAATCTCAATCAATTCTGCTGACCACTAAGCTTTATGGTAAAATCTTTGAGCACAGAAATTTACATTATTAAATTGTTATACGTTTGGCTGATTTACCTATAAAAAAAGTGGCAGTTTCTAATTAAATAGCCACAGTGATTCTTTCCTCCTTTTTTATTATTATCAAGTCCAAAAGCGACGAATGGGACGTTATAGTCTCAAAATGACGTTTTGCGTTGAATCACTTTTCAAATTGTCACACCAAATATTTTAAGGAAGCCTTGTATTATATTTAAAGAAATTCATTAATGAAGAATCGGCGTAAATGTATGCACGTTTTTAGCATTGTGAAGAAACAATGATACCTAGAGCGATCAAATTTTGAATAGTCCTCCACCCGAACCTGGGCACATGGAAGACCGAATTTTGAATTTGGTTTTTTTTATCTTTTTCATATTTTGTTATTGTGACATATTTTGTTGTCTGACAGTAATATCAGAATAAGCCCACGAAATCGTGGCAAGGAGTGCAAGATTGCCCTTGCGAAGAGCTTTGAGCACTGTACAGGTGGCAATACGATTTCGCTCAGTTCCACCCTCAATTTTGATGGAGAGCAGCCAGGGGTTCGAAAGGCTCGACTACCACCAACCTCTTGAGAGGACTTTCGGCTCGCCTCATATTTAGAGTGCCCCATTCCACACAGACACAATTTACAAACATTCGTGCCTTCTCTGGGAATCGAACCCGAGCCCTTCATTATGACAGTCAGCATCGTTAACCACTTTCCTGGTTGAGCGACTCATGTTTTATAAAACTTTAAGGAATTTTTGATTAACAAACTCAACGATTTCAAAGTGAGCAGTGACAACATATACAGAATAAACCATTTTTATCTCCAACGTGCAAGACTGTCTGTCGGAAATTCTAAAAATATGCTATTTTAAGTATTTTGTAATTTTCCTGCTGAATCAAACTGTATGTGGCGTAAGCGCCAAGATCGAGGTATTTAATAAATGAAGTAAACACGCAAAACTATAATTTAATAATTTATTAATAAAAAGACAAAAGAATTTTTTTAAACCCATCTTAGTAAGAAAATGGAATATTGATACGATGAGCCAATAAAAGACTCAATATGTGTCAACGCTTAACACTGCATCGGGAATTCTAAACATATAATGCTATGCTGCTTTTAAAAAACTTGTAATTTTGGTGTTGAATTGTATATAATTGCGAAGAAAATGATGCTTAATAATAAAGCTGAAAAGAACAAAAAAAGGGGTTAGTAGGAGTGAATGTAACAACAGACTGGTAAACTGTGAGCTAAGCGAGAGCGTAAAAAACCTTAACGAGCCCTTTTAGGCGACCGTTAAAAATCTGAAACCTTTCACTTTTTTAAAATTATTATTTGGGGGAGGGGAGAGAATAGACAGCTAATGTTTCTTGTGATGCTGCTGGTGTTTTGGATGAAAGAAGCTTAAAATTTAAACATATTTGTTCCAGTTCCTGAAAAATTCGTCGAAAATTTTGACGAAAATATGGCTGATTTGTTATGGCAGGCCGGATAAGAGGGTCTGCTGTATTACCATCTTTTTCTGGGAAAGGAATGTCTTAAATCGTTGATATGACAGCTGATCTTGTAGAGTCATTAGGCTGTTTTGAAGCAGGAGACGTGAAAAATGTGCTTTGCCCTCGCCGGGACTCGAACCTGAACCTCTCGAATATGCGCCGAGTGTGCTACCGTTGCACCACGAAAACATGCTGCAAGGAGTGAGAAAATACTCCCCCTTTTAAAGTGGAACCGGGAATTAGGAGACCCAATCTCCAAATCCTGGTGGTGACGAATTATTGTCCACCATATTTTTTAGTTCCGGCGCCATTTGTAGTCATTAGGTTATTTTGAAGCAGGAGACGTGAAAAATGTGCAATGCCCTCGCCGGGACTCGAACCTGGACCTCTCGAATACGTGCCGAGTATGCTACTGTTACACCACGAAGGCATACTGGAAGGAGGGAGAAAATACCTTATAATCTTTATATGAATCATTCTATAACGAAACCCGACTACTTCTACTAATTTTTCAGGAAGATTAATGTAAGGGACATTTTTATATTCTTTGTTTCTACATACCTGGAGTTTGTTGTCCACTGTCTTGACAACAATCTCTTCTGGTTGATATTGGCTGACGTCAAAACGTAACCTCAACTGCTTGCCATCACCAGAATCCTGGATGAGAGGAGAGTTGAGGCCATCCAACCATGTGCGAACTTCAGATTTATACGTGGTACCATCGGCACCAGAGGTTGTCGTCTGACTTTGGATTCGAGGTGATTCTCTGTCAAGCAGCTGAGCTCGGAATCGATTCATTTCTTCTTCCATCAACTTCATCTCTTGCTCGAATTTTTCTCGGATGGAACTGAACTCGCGGTCGATGACACTGAAGTCTGTCCTTGCTAGAGGCAGTCGACGTTCAAAAGGCATTTTGTATTATCTGAAACAAATTAAAACTTATTAATTAACATAAAACTGATTTTAAGAGAATTAAAAATAGAAAATAATCTTTGAAGTTGTTCTTGTCGGTGGGTTTGGCTAAGCGATGGACACGGCACATTTTTCAGCCCAAAAGAGCTGAAAAGTCTAGGCTCGAAATTCGATTTTGCATTATTGAATCACCATTATACATGCGTCGTTTCACTTTTCATTTGAGTTTGTTGCCATTTTGAAAAATGCAAGATGTTTATCTTTCAAATTGAATCTGTCTTTTGTGGATTAACAAACTAAGCTACTTGAAAGCAACAGATGCACTTCTTAAGGATATTCGTTTATTACCTTTGAATCTGATCGATTTAAATAAAAAGGCGTTTAGTTCATGATCTGTCTTAATTCAAAATATTCAGCATTTTGATAGAAAGACACTAAATACTTTTTTATTATTTATTTCATATTTTCTAAAACTTTAACAAATTTTTGATTAAACTCTACGATTCGAAAGCGAGCAGCGGTAGCGCTATATGAAATAAAACATTTCTAGCTCCAGCGCGGAAGATGATCTATCGGAAATTCGTTAAAGATATGCTGCTTTAAAATATTTTGCCATCGAATTGAATTTTATGTGGTGTGAGTGCAGAGAACGTGATATTTAATAAATAAAACGACAAAAAAAGTTTTGTAAACCATCTTACTAAGAAAACTGAACATTGATGCGATGACCTGAGAAAAGAATGGGGGAGGGATATGCCAATAATTAACACTTCGCCGGGAATTCTCGACATATGCTGTTATGCAGCTTTTAAAATATTTGCGATTTTGCTGTTGAGTTAAATATGGCGTAATTGTCAGCTCAGCTAGAATGTAAAAACCTTTAACAAACCCTTTTGGGCAATCGTTAAAATATGATTTTAAAAAAAAATATATTTTCTTTCCTCTCTCTCGCATGATATATAGCATAGCTGGCCAAACTTCATGTCAGTAACAGCCGCACGTTTGAATTCAGGTATGTTCGAGAGCCGCATCTAGATTTTCTAAAAGCCACAAGTTCATATTTACATCATTATAGAAGTAATGGCGGAGGTTTTAAGTAGAAAGAAATCCCTGATAACTTTGTAAAAAGAATTAATTAATTACTTCTTTTTGGACACTGAATAGTTTTAGTTTACCATATTTCATACTTATATTTTATATGCACGAGCCGCACAAATTGCCTGCGAGAGCCATACCAGGCTCGCGAGCCACACTTTGGCCACCCCTGATATATAGTCTGCGCCAACTTCCCTTTGCGAATGCCTAATCGACAAATACTCAGCCAGTTGATAGAGGAGGGTTATTATTTGGAACTAAACACAGCTGAATCTTTGTATGTCTATGAAGCACACTCAATCAACAACGCAGAATCGATATAATAGCTAACGTTTACTAAGCGGACTAATACCGTAGACACCAATACAAGCTATCACAAGCCTGTAATTTTTACAATTTCCTGCCTTGAAATTTTATATTGGAAACTATGACTTATATTTCAGGGTATTCGTAATATTTTGTATAATATCATTTTCATCAAACATATTTTTAATTTAACTTCGGTACTGTAAAGTAAATAAAGAGTAATAAATAAGGTAAGGTAAATAAAGAATATATTATTTTCACCAATTCTCATTTATTTATTATCACGCGATGAAAACTTTTGATTACGAAAGTCAGTTTTTTGTCTTTTTCTCCCTTTTTTTTTCATCTCTCTCTCTATATATATACATATATATATTACGGTGAAAGACAGAAATCTGAAGAATGCCGACTTTCACCGGTGAATGTCAACATTCACATAGTCTCTTGGTGTATGTCCGAAATATTTTCCATATACTCTTATTTTTGACTTACACCGGTGAATGTCGACATCACCATTACTATGGAATGTTGAACATATAAGAAATTATATTCCTTCTCCGTAATTCACGCGAAAAAACGCATTGAAATCAGAATAAGAACTTAAGAATATAAGAACTTAAAACACCAGTAATTCAAAATGAAAGAAATAAAATATAGAAGTTATATTAACTTATTAGTTGTGTTATTATGTCAAACAACTTAAACTATTATGACACTTGAATTGCAAAGAGGCCCTTGCTTTTACAAATGCATTTATTTGTGAAACCTTCATTTTGGAATGGCAGCGTGTAAATACTCCTCTTTTCGACCTATGCCAGGCATATCGTATTGTCGACATACACGGTGAGGGCCGAATGACAGAAGTAAGAAATATTTATCTTCCCGACGTATTTGGTGATTTGACATCTCCGGTGAAAGTAGACATTCTCCAATTTCGGTCTTTCACAGTAACATATATAAATATTGCAAGATATTATTAAATTTGACTCAATCATAAACGAAACACTGTTTGGACCACCTAAACAATAGCTTTTCTTCAGAAGCATAATTAAAATCAAATTAATAATTAGATTTAAAAAATTGCATTAAAAAATCGTCGAATATATTTCTGATATACATATGTTTGAAAATGTTGTTCAACAATACGGATGAATGAACTGAATTTGATTAATTATGCCGCAACTTTGCACATTATTTCCATTTTCCTTGAAAAAGATTTCGTTTTCGTGGTTTTCCCCATGTGTGGCATGTATACTAGCTAATTTCCTTAGAAAGTCCTCCACGAAAACGAAAATCCCTCTCTTTCGTTAGATAGCCCTCGAGGCTAATCTCATAAACCAAATTAAACAAATCCTGTTTATCATAGAATACTGGTCATCAAACTTTGTCGACTAACGGAACACTTAGAATTTTTTTTTCCCCCCGCGGGACCCCCATTTTTCCCTTAGAAAAATACATCTTAAAGTAATATTTAAAGCAGATATGTTATAGGCGCTTTATGTTAAGACGATTAAAGAAAAGTATTGCATTTTTATCAAAAAATGTTAACATAAAATTAATGTAATTTACTCATTAATAGCATTAACTCGTGCTCCAGGGGTGTCTCCTCGCTTTGCCTTATATTTGGGCAGGGGTGTGCTTGCACTTTTTTTTAGCCCAAAGGAGCAATTTGTCCATAAGGGTTATTAATTTTGTTTTGGAATTTTGCGTCGATTCACTACAACCGACGAATCACTTTTTAAATTGTTGCTACCAAATATTATCGCCCTGTATTATATTTAAAGAAATTAAATAATGAAGAATCTGCATAAATGTATGTATCTTTCTCGCATTGGGATTAAAAAACTACCTAGAGCGATCAAATTTTGAATAATGTAATTCTCCACCGAATATGGGCATCTAAACGCCCAATTGAATTTGTTTATTACGAGTCATATTTGACACTTTACAATAATTACTTCATTACCATTATGTCACACTTTACAATAATTACATTTGTGAGGGAACAAACTAACGTTTAAAGCAAGAAAAGGGAAAAACGCTAATAAAAAAAAGCACAAAAAAAAACCTCCAGCGCGAGGAGACTGTGTATTGGAAATTCTAAAGATATCCTCCTTTTAAAATTATTTTGCGAAATTGCTGTTGAATTCACTTTTATGGTTTAAGGGGACATAAGCCATAAAAATTTTTAAATTTTCAATTTTGGGCTAAAAAAATAAAGCAACCTGAGACGATTCCAAAAATATATAATTTATTTACGTTTAGAAATTTTAAGACCGAAATCTTTCATTAAAAAATGTAAATAAGCAGTAGCAAGCTCGAGCAGGGGCAGAACGGTATGTGTGGCAACATTAAAACCATATCAGTGGTAAAGGGATGTTCATAAACTTCTGTGTTAGAATCTGTTTTCTTAGCGAGAGAAAAGAAGAAAGTCTTTGAGTGTCAAACAAAAAAAAAAAAAAAAAAAAAAAAAATACTAAAAAAGAGAAAAGGGCAGGAGAAAGAGAAAGAGGAAAAAACAGGGGATGAGTAAGACGGAGGCGTGCGAAGGACCGCGTTGATATCGGAGACGGCATTGGTGTTTATAAATTAGTGTCCGTACGACATGGAAGACCCCAAATATGCGGCGAGCCGAAAGCTACGACACCAAGGATTTGGGGGGACTGGAAAGCTGTGAACCCAAGGGGGGCTGTCATAGAAAAAATTGGGGGCGGAACTGAGCTAAATCGCACTGTCACCCGTAAGGTGCTCAAGGCCAACGGTCAACGGTAGGTGCTCCTTGCGCTGTTATACGTTAGACAAGTGAAGAACAACTCAAAACCCGAATGAAAGTTTTAATAATTGTATCTGGACAGGCATACCAAAAACTATTTTTGAGAGTGTTATCACATTAAAATTGGGTTTATTAGATGCGGTAATATGTTTTAATGATGGTGTACAATGCCGCATTAAATAATTGGAATTATAGGGAACACAGCCAGGATTTTATACGGTAAAGTTTTTGGGAGAATAGATTGCGATAGAATTCGTGAGGCCCATCTCGATCACCAAAAGCTTTCTAAAATGGCCAAAAAGAAACACTAAGTTATAAACAAACAATTAGAGCAGAATACAGTTCAAGTATAATGGGGCAGGAAAAGCTAAAATGATTTTTTATATAATTTTAGTGTTTAATTTTTTTTTTTTTTTTTTAAACTTTCGGTACACTTTTTTGAAAATATTTAGCCTAGAAGGTTTAAATTTTCCACAAGTTATCCTAACTATTTCTTGGAAACTAGCAGGATTAAAATTATGGATCATTATTTTGATATATAAAAATTGAATACCATTTTTTTTGTGAGTTCAAAACATTTACTAATTTTTTTAGATTTTTTTTTTTTTTTCTTTTTAGAAATGTAAAATGCTGCTTATTTTCTTAATAATGTTTTTAACCATCATGCAACATTTGAGAGTTGATGCAAGCAGTTTTTAAGAAAGTGATCAACTGCACACTGTCACAAAGTTCATCAAAAGGTAAGAGAAATAAACAGCTGGTTTTTAAAAAACTAAGTTTAATTTACATTTATGTTTTATAATTTGCAAGCTGTCTACTTTAAATGAAAAAAAAATTTAGAGTATCGTTATTTTGAGAAAAG